AAAGGGGTTTTAGGGATATAGACTGCATGAATCAGTCAAGTAAAAGTATTTTGACCGTACTGACGTGAAAGAATTTATAACATAAAAGTTTTTGTTGTGAAATAATTGAACTTTGTTTATTGTTAAACACTTTTAAAACGGGAGGTTTATATATCACTTTATTTTTATATCTACCATTATAGCAGTGGAGGCTGACTGTTAGTGAAAATAATTTAAATAAAGGAAAGATTAAACCTTGATAGAAAGGGTCGATGGATTTTGTTACACAGTGAAAGAAAAATAATTTTTGTAGAAAAAAAGCCGTATTTTGAGACTATAATTACAGAAGAAAATAACTGGTTTTTCTGTCAACATTTTGAAAAAGAATATAACTGAGAAAAAAAAGACACGTTTAATTGTAACAGTTTGTGGGATAGGTTAGTGTGGAGACAGAAAGTTTTGAGATTTTTATAAGATATTTTCACCGGGATATATGCTTAATAATCTAGTGATGGATATAATAGATCAAACAATACAGGTTTGTTGTTTAGTTATTTCAAACACTTTTAATATCTTGATTAATACAACTCAAACTAAGGTTTGTTAAACATTATTGCATGGCCAGGGCTGCATTCCCTGAATCAGGCGCTCTAAATTATAGTGATCATTGTTTTCATATTTTTAAATAAGCTTTGAAATAATGTCTCTGAAGCATTATACAGACATTCTGTAGTGTGGAGAAGTTGGCAGTTACTTGTGGAGAAAAAAAAACTGAACCTCTGACTTACTATAAGATACTGTAATAATGTAAAGCTGTGTTAAATACTGTAAAACTGTAATACCTATAAATAATGTAATACTTGGGGCCTTAAAATCCAACACAAACTCAATAGTACAGGTTAAGTACTAAGCTATGGTCAGACATTACAATTATGATATCAAGTTTTCTGCTTAACTTTAACAGTAACTATATTACAGTGTATCATAAAAATAATTATAATACTATAATTTGATGAAAAAAGAAGAAAATAGAGTTACCATAGTAACCAAAGTTTTAAAAAGATTGTATTTACCACTGTGATGATATATAGAAGAACTTGTTGTTGTTGTTGTTTTTTTGTTTTTTTTACTTAAATAAAACTTTTGATAAAAAGAAGTGGAGATGAAGTACAGTGGCTCTGTGATGTTAAATAGAAGAACTTTTTGTTGTTGTTGTTGTTTTTTTGTTTTTTTTTCCTAAATAAAACTTTTGATGAATAGAAGTGGAATGTTATCTTAGAAGATGAAGTTCAGTGCCTGATAACATCAAAACGCTCTTTTATTTTATCTTCTGTACATGGTTCCTACGTTCTTTGTTATTTCCATAGTAACTTTAAACTTCATCTAGAATTTTATACTTATATACAATCTCCTTGGAAATAGTCATAGTTGGTGTGTATTTATGAAACAGACTGTACTTCTTTTATAATTGCTGACTACCCCCATCCCCCCATGTATTTTGATTAAAATATATAAGAACAAGTATTAGGTTATAATCAAGCAGTCACCACTGCTGCAAACGTTACTATTTAGTCACTCCTAAATTCTTTAAAAACTATATTTATATAGCCTGTGATTTAGTCAAAACTTCCTGTTGTTGTTATTTTTTACTTTTCAATTTACAATAAATAAAACACCTATTCATTGAGATTTATTTAGTATGAAATATTTTCACTGGCATTTAAGAATGACATGAATATGTTATAGTAAAGCAGGTGTACAGATTTTTATCAGATATCCACTAAACACTACCTCAGGTCTCTAGGCTATATCATAATATATGCATTTACACTCAAATTCACCAAATTTACAATATTTATCAAATTTACCCAATTTATGCATGAAATTGAGTTGAGAGTCTGTCCAGATAGTCGGGGGTACCTGAGTGTAAATTAAACTAATTATCTTACAGGGAAAACAAATAATAGTAACTTTGCATTGATATCAAACAAGTTGTTTTAAGCTGTAGTGTTTGATGAAGGAAAACTTGATTGTGCATTATATATGTATATCTAAGACTTATAGCATCAGTGAATCAATTTATGTGATATTATTTTACTAATGTGATATTTTAATATTCAAATTTTGATATTCAAATTTTGATAGTCAACAGTAAATGATTATAGAGCCTTGAGTCAGTGTGCATGACATTCTGTACTCAGAGTAAAAAAATGTGCCCTTTAATTAAGACTTCATTCAAAGATTGAGTAATTTCAACACCAAAATACAGGTACAGTTAAGCTGCCAAGAGTAAATAGCCGGGGTTGGGGGAGGAGGCGGGTTAGACTGTGTAGATGTGTAGAGCCGGGGTTCAGATTGTGTAGATGTGTAGAGAGCCAGTGTTCAGACTGGGTAGATGTGTAGAGCTGGGGTTCAGACTGTGTAGATGTGTAGAGCCGGGGTTCAGACTGTGTAGATGTGTAGAGAGCCGGGGTTCAAACTGGGTAGATGTGTAGAGCCGGGGTTCAGACTGTGTAGATGTGTAGAGAGCCGGGGTTCAGACTGGGTAGATGTGTAGAGCCGGGGTTCAGACTGTGTAGATGTGTAGAGAGCCGGGGTTCAGACTGGGTAGATGTGTAGAGCCGGGGTTCAGACTGCATAAATCTGTAGAGCTGGTGTTCATTTTGTGTAGATATGTAGAGCTGGGGTTCAGACTGGTAGATGGATTGAGCCAGGATTCAGACTGTGTAGATGGGCTGGGAATCAGACTGTGTACTGGTAGATATGCATAACTTTCCTGTCTCTATACCGGTGGCAAAGGTTTTGGTTCCGGCATGAAATGGGTTAAGCCTTATCTCTGCTTTCTGACTATAACCTGTGACCACAGGCGCCATTTAGACACACAGGTTGGCCTGTATATCTGTACAGTCCTAGCTGGCTGTGATACAGTTGAATCTTCATTATTATCCCCAAATCTTCATAATGGGAAGATCCAAAAATGGTAGCTGAACAATTTCATTATAATAAAATAAGGAATGTTTAAAACTACATTCCAGAACTTCATAGTGAATTATCAAACATGCCTTGCTGTAATATACTTGTATTAAACAGAATGTTATATAAGCTCCCTGTATTTATAAACAAATAACAATATTGTTATATTTTCAAGAATGCCAAAGTTAAACACAATGTATTCTGGTGTTATGTAATGTTGAATTTTTTGTTTAAAGATAATTCAATACAGGAATCAGGCACATTAGAATTACATCTACAGCAATATGTTTCATCTCTTTTAGAGTGTGCAGGGTATTTCAATAATGCAAACAGTTTATTGAAGCTCTGAATCCAATGAGTTTAGCTTTTGCATAGATATATATTATATACATAGCCCTATTAAACCCTCCATAAGAGATTAAAAGATGAAGAGATAATTAATTAAATTGACAACTAACCCCATGGTTCACATGGATGTGCAGGCTGGCCCAGCTTTTATCTTCAGTTGAGAGAAAGACGAAAATATTCAATGTCAAGGGGTCCATACTCTCAATGCCTGAAAGGGCAGATGGACCCTCATTTTGAAGCCTAGAATACATACATACATACATACATACATACATACATGCATAGGCACTGGATCATTTCTCTGTTCTATAAAATGATTTTTGACAGGGTTTATAGTTAATAGTTAGTAGTTGGTGCATAGTTTATAGGTAGTAGGTGCATAGTTTATAGGTAGTAGGTGCATAGATAGTTACTTATTGAAAGTTGAAGTACTTAGCAAAAACAACAACAACAGGAAGTTTTTGACTTCACAGGCAATAATTATAGACTATACATTATAGAAAAGTGATCAAAATATTTCAAACATAGTAATAAGTAAAAGATGAGTTAAAAACAGTCTACAATAGGCTATAGGCTATATTAGAGAACAGATTTTGTATATGATACTGATACATGTCGGACATTATATATAATGTTCATATAATTATAATTTTCTGATAAATTTTGCTCAAGGAAAATCAATAGTAAAAATTATAGATATTACAATATGAACAATTTTTTTATATCTGTCGCTTTTGTCTTGATTCATTTTAAAAGGGAGAAATGTTTAATTATAAATGTGGTACATCTGTTGTGATCAGGGGCACAGGTTGTAGTCTATCTTGTACATAGATCACTACATTATTATAGTTACAAAGATTTTATCTGTTTTAATAATAGTTTTAATGCGAAAAGTGTTTGTTTTATTGGGGGAGTTTTTGATGGCGGTTGGGTGGGGGGCTGGGGGGAGGATGAGAGCGTGTGTGCTTTGTGGGTGGATGGGTTGGGGGACAAGGGTTGGATAACTATATAGTTATAAAAATTTTATCTATTTTATGAAAGCTTTAATGTGGAAAGTATGTGTTATATTTCCCCTGTGAAATGAATGCTTACAGTTCATGAATAATTCATGAAGTATTCATTCTAGTTCATGACCTAGATTCATGAATAGTTCATGGGATGTACATGAAGACAAAATGGCACAAATTCTTGAAAAGTTCAGAGGACACCTAGTTCTTGAACTGTCCCATGTTCTTGATCAGTTCATGACTCAATAAAACATGAACATTTCATGAACTGTTCTTGAACAAAATGCAATGAAATGCTCATGAACTGTTCACTTACAGTAAATTATGAACTGTTCATGAATTTTACCTCTACATGAACTTTTCTGGCACTTTTTCCAGTGCAAATTCATTGTGCCATTTTATCTTCACGAAAAGTACAAGAACAGTTCAAGAACTACAGTTCATGAACAGTTCCTAAACTACATTTACATTATTTTACATTCATGAAAAATGCAAGAACAGAGCAGACAGATGATACCAATCAATTTGCGGACTAACAAGTCTAAACAATATGTACTCAACATAAGCTCTAAGTTATATTGTTCAAAAGTAAACCACAAACATGTAAAACTGCTTGTAAAATTTAAAAACTACACATCTTTGTTTAACAAGAGCTAAGAAATAGTTTCTTAAATACAGCTTGCTGATTTTCAAAAGTGCAAAAATCAAGAACTTGAAATTAGAACAGTTTCCAATGTTTCACTTATTTTGTGATTTATTTCCTTCTGATGACCTTTTGCAAAGTCTCTAGTTTTTTATTAAATACTTCTTTTGATACACCGGTTTTCCTCCTCACTAGTCTTTCAAGATTGCTCAGTTTCGAGGGTTCAAGTGGTGGTCTCGGGGAATCCTTACACTTATTGGTCATCTTTCCAGTCCTAGAGTGGGTTCTAAGTTCCTCCACAGTGAAGATAGTCTTTGCTATTGTAACCAAGACTTCTTGAGTATCACTAAGATGTTCCACAGCTTATAATTCGGGGTCCTCCACTTTTGTATTCTGACTCTCTAAAGCAGTAATTGGCTCCTCCATGCGTCGAATCTTTCTACGCAGGCTTCTGCACTCATCCTCCCATCTAGTTTGGAAATAACAACAAAAAAAAAACAATATAACGTCTTGTGTTTGAAATGACAGTTTTAAACATCACACAAATGTTACGAAAAAATGCGTTTCCATAGTACCCTTCAAACCTATTTTTATACCTTGATATCAGGGTATATAAGTTTTTCATTAATATTTAAGTAGAAAATGCTAATTATGCGAATTTTAATACTAGTGAAATTAGACTGAATTAAAATTCTAGGTTCTACTGTAGAACTGTAGACAATTGTAAAATTGGGTCCTTGTAACCTCAACTATATTGCTTACCCGTCAGATCTAGCCTCAACCACACAACCCCCAGCAGTTCCTGCATTTTCGATTCACTTTCACATTTGACACTGTCAGCAGGACCTATAATATTATATATATAGAGAGATTAAATCCAACACATCCAAAAAAAACAACAACAACAACAACAAAAAAAAAACAACAACAACAGAAAACGTGATTTCTGTTCCAATAAAAATTTTGGATGTATCTTATTTGCTTTAAAAATACAGTCAGTCATGTGTTATTTCCATTATAAAACTACATAAATAATGGTGATATAAAAATATTGTCTCTTTCTGAAAAACTTTTTTCTGATATAAAGGAAAATTGGCTAAGGTAGTCAACTGTCAGCATACCAGGGTGTTGAACTGTCTGGGGATAAAAAAGACTTGCTGCCATGCATTTTTTCAAAAAACTATTTTAAACTAGATTCTATATTTTAGAACTAGAAGGCATTAGCAAATAAGTTCCTGCAGGGAAGCAGAACCATGTTCAATCTTCAACTATGCTTTGTTTTTTATTCATTTTATATTGATCCTGTTCAACAATAAAGAAATAAATAAAAACGGGTCGCGAAAATATGTGACAAATGTCCGTTTACGCAATATTTCCAGTAAGGTTGAAGTATCTAAACTGTAACTAAGAATGAGCTGGAAATACAATTATTATTTCTATTGTTACAGTCGGCAAATTGTTACAAAATAATGCTTTTAGAAGTGAAGAAAGTTCATTAAAATAATTATAGACTCTTCATTTTTTTCTTGGAGGAGTCATAAACACGCCGGCTCTGTTTGAAAAAAAATCAACGGGTGCATTTATGATAATACTCACAGTGAATTTCACCGATTGCAGCTTTGAAGGTCTTCTTCTGATAATTTGCTTGAGCAATTTCACTTTTCTTGTTGTATGTCTTTATTGGGGAGATGATATTAGATATGAGACGAAGTTTTTGCCGTCTTTGAATATTGAATATTGCGCGCTTAATAGACCTGTGTACTACGTAATAAATCTGTGTACTACGCAATAAACCAGTGTACTACGTCAGCAACATGTGCTCGATTCTCATAATTTCGTGTAATTCCGTTGTTTTTGCCGTCAATACAATGACCATACATGCCATAATTTTTAGACTCATTTCCGAGACACTTTTCATTTGAAGGTGGGGCATTGATCAGCAAACGTATTTTTTTTTCAATTTACATAGTGGCATACAGCCTATAGGCCCTATTACCGGTAATTACAACTTGCAAATTTAATGACACCATAAACAAAGTCAGAATGTCAATAATTATTAACAGTTTTTCTATCTTTTAAAGTACTTAGGCATCGTTAATTCAATCAGACACAGAATAGAATGAAGATATGTTAAGTAATGACAATGAGCCATGTCCTTTACCTGAAACATTCACTGAATCTTGTAGATTTTATCACCTCATATTTAGCGCGTATTTTTCACGGTGTTTGACCACAAATAAAATTTAATTTATAATGGCCAGTTGGCCAGTGTATGACACCTTCACTGGGGTAATTAATCTTTTATTTGATCAAAATTATTGCCGATAATTGTTATTTGGAAGCGGCACGTTGATATACCAATCAAAGGATAAGTGTCACCATTGCAAAGCTGTTAGGCCACTTTGGGGATAATTGTTCCTTATTAGCGTTCTAGATAAGTTTACAAAAACTTGACAATAAAATTATATAAAAAAGTAAAATTTCTTGCTTCAATGTAGATTACTTTTAGATTTTTTACCGGGACATAAATCATCTCCGGGACAGACACCTTATTTCCGGGATTGTCCCAGACACGGGACGTTATGGCATGTATTACAATGACTGAATAATTTCAATTAAAACATTGAGGCCTACAAATTTTATTTCACAAACCTAATATGAAATTAGGCAAAGCCTATGAACGGGGAAGTCGTTAAAAATTCCTTTCATTCTTTCCATTTAAAGGTGTCATTTGGTATTACATGCACCGCTTCCGTTTTCACTCGGAATACTCGACGATTATCTTTTATCCGAAAAGTTGAGATTTGTTCCATTATCGGAATACCCCGCCTATTATCATTGAGTAACATTGTAAATGGCGGCGCCCGACTAGAACTGACACTGAAAATTTCATTGATAGGTATACAATTCTATACAGTATATTTTTTATGTTTTTTTATTCGATTTTCTTTTAAATATACACGTGTAGTCTATAGCCGGGCAAGCCAAAGCCTGGACCCGCTTCGCGGGCCCGGTCTTTGACTTTCCCGTATTATTTTAAGCCCAACAGGCACTTGAATTTCAAACAAAGCTACCATAGTTTCCAAAAAATTTGTGTTGCTACGTCAGTATAAGTATCCAATATATAGATAGAGGAGTTGGTTGAGTAAAAAATGGGGAATTTTATTAAAGAAGTGACTGATTGAATTTCCATGGTCAAGCAATAAAAAAAATACTGATGTCTTTATTTTATGCAAAAAAATGTTTTGGGCCTGTGCTAATCTACCCAGGTCTATATCTTTTCTTGACCAGTTATCATTCTATTTCTGTAGTTATTTAATAACAATTAAATCATGAACACATGGTCTTCATCAAAAGTTCTTCAGAAATTCATTAACCAATGTATTTAGGTCATCAAGTGTTCTTGAGCAGTAATCATTTCTATTTCAGCAATTATTAAAGGACAAATCATGAACTCATGGTTTTCATCAAAAGTTCTTCAATAGTTTGTGACATTATTAAAGGACAAATCATGAACCCATGGTTTTCATCAAAAGTTCTTCAATAATTCATGATCCTAAGTTCATGAACCTTTAAAGAATTCGGTTTTGTTCTTTTTATGTCAATGAACAGTTCATGAACAAGCTTGAAGAACTGTTCATGAACATAAGTTCTTGAACAATCATTATGAACTGTTTAGGACCAGTTCATGAACAGTTCTTAAATGTATTGAAAAGTTCATGATTTCAAGAACACTATTTCACAGGGGTGGGACAAGAGTGTATGTGGGAGCTTGGGCAGGGGAGTGGGCCCGGGCCGGAATGTCAGGGGTTGGGAAGGAAATTTGGGGTTGGTTACGGATGAGAGTCTGGTAGAAATCTGAAACATGTAAATCATAACTATCACACTTAAATTTGATCGCCTTTTATTTATTATTTTATTTATTTATTTTTTTTTTTTTGCTTGACAAGTTGATATTTTAGCTTCCATCAGGATGACATAATTATGCTGTCTGTCTACAGGGATTTGAACCAGCAACCTCCAGGCAGTCTACCATTCTCAGACTTAGTCAAGCTTTTACTTTCATATTTATTCCCTTGTTAAAAGGGTTTTGATATACTGAAAATATGTTTTAGTTTTGTTTTTTGTGATTTTGCTAAATTTATTTATTTCTTTATTTTTCAGGTAAGTGAAGAAAATTTGAAAGTTTCTTAAGTAAAATGGTGACATGGGTTTGTACATGAATGACTACAATGTAAAAGGTAAGTGAGTTAGTGACAGGAAACCAGAGGCTGACTTTGAGACTTAAACCAGGTAAAAACCATTCTTAATATGTGATTCTGAATCAAGGTTGCAAAGTCTGAGCTCAAGGTGTTGTCAGCTTTTCTTTATGGATTGAAAATATTTGAATCTGAACTCTTATTGATGTGAGCTTGTCTAAAATCTTTTGTCTAAATTTGAGTTCAAATAAGAGCTTTTCTTTATAGATTTGTATGAATCATCTTTGTCTGAAAAGATTTGAATCGGAGCTCAAGGTGCTGTGAGCTTTTTCTATAGATTTTGTAGACTTTTTTGTCCAAAACAATTTGAGCTCAAATTGATGGAGTTTTTTTTTTGTTTGAAAAGAACTGAATCTGAGGGCAAGATATTATGAGCTTTTCTCTATAAGTTTGTTGTTTTTTTTTTGTCTGAAAAGATTTGAATCTACTGGTAAGCTGAATTTGAAATGAAGAGTCTAAAAATGTACAAAATTTGAAGAGTCTAAAAATGTACATTTTGTCTTGATATTTTTTCGTCTGAATTTTTATCTCAATAAAGTGGCGCTTAACTAAATAAATCTCACAAAAACAAAGAAAAAATGAACTAAACGGTCTTGAAGTAGAAAATTAAGATGACAAAGAGGGGGGATGAATAATACGAGTCGGATTGTCTGTGCGGTAATGGACGGTGTAAAAGACGAACAAAAACATGTTTTATACCGAAAATTGTTGATCTTATTGTTTAAAACTAAAACAAAGATTATTTTCTTTGATAGACATTGAAACGTTCCGAACCTTTTGTATTCTTAACTTTTCCTAGATTGACATCAAAATTAGTGAACCTTTTATCTTTCTAATTCTTTCCCTCTACACAAATTAGTTATCTCTCTTGTCTCAATTTCAAAATAAAAGTATTTTCTTTTCATGCCGTTTTTCCTTTTCTTTTTCTTTCTTTTCTTCTTTTTTTTCTTTGAGATTTTACATTTAGTTATCAGCGAGTTTTTAAGATATGATAATGTTATCAGATTGAATTGTCTTGTTGCGTTTAAACGCGTCAATTAACTCTGCATTGTCTTCAGTTAACGCTATATAATATTGTATTCTATCATTGTAAAAATCTGGCTAGTTATGTATTGTATCTTTTGTTTTACATTTTTCACACTATTTTACTATGTATAACCGTACAAATATTTCAATGTGAAAGGTGACGATTTTCATTTATTTTCTCTTACAAAACTTGTCTTTTGTTCGTTCTTTTTTTAGGATTTCATGAAATTTTTGTGATTATTTATTAATCATAAAGATTATTTGAGCTGCTCTCCAGATTTTATGTCATGAACCTTTGATATGTTAGTTAAATTTTTGATATGTTAGTTAAATTTTTGATTTGTTAGTTAAATTTTTGATGTGTTAGTTAAATTTTTGATATGTTAGTTAAATTTTTGATGTGTTAGTTAAATTTTTGACATGTTAGTTAAATTTTTGACATGTTAGTTAAATTTTTGATTTGTTAGTTAAATTTTTGACATGTTAGTTAAATTTTTGACATGTTAGTTAAATTTTTGACAGGTTAGTTTAATTTCATACTTGTGTAGCTACAATAATTTTGCATCTAAGTTATAAATAAATTTTGTTTTTACATTTTAAAAAAAAATTCAAATTGTTTTTAAAAAAAAAATCTTTTGAAACATTTTTTAATGACTGTTTAAGCATTCAATTATTACTCTTTAAATTTTTTTCGTGTGACAAAGAAAATTAAACCATTCAATCTGATACAATCATATTAAAAGTTCAATTTATACCACAGGTATACTACACACAGTAACATACATGCAGGGCTGCCGTCTTGATATCAAATTTCTAATATAACCAATTTTCACCGATTTGCACAAGCTTTCCAGTTTTCTTAAGTAGTTTAAGTGATGTTTTAATAATCCCATACATATAGACTGGCAGATTGAAACATGCATATGGTTCACTGAGGGTAGATATGTCGCCCCGGTTACGAGGAGGTCAAGCGAACACAAGGACACAATAATAACAATTATGTTACCTTTTGAAGGGATGCCTGAAGTACATCGTACTGTACTAGTTTACCAAGAGTAACACTGAATATTTAAGTTATTTTAAACAAATTGACATAGTTTGATAGTTTGACAGGTGGCCAGTTGAACAAAAATAAAACTCAATTTTTACAAATGCTAAGATTTAGCAAGAAGTAAATGCACTCATAATCACAGATTGCTGAAAACATAAAAGTTTTAAAAAACTTTTCCCTAGCTGGGTTAATATGTTCATGTAATGGTCCCAGTAGTTTGTAAAATAGTTCCACAAATTGATAAAAGTGGTCCCAGGATTGGAGAAAGGGATCCTTAAAATTTATAAAGTTGTCCCAGAAATTGATAAAGTGGTCCCAGAAATTGATAGGTTCCTAGAAATTGATAAAGTTGTCCCAGGAGTTGATAAAATGGTCCTAAAAATTGTCAATGTGGTCCCAGAAATTGATAAAGTTGTCCTTAAAAATTGATAAAGTGGTCCCAGAAATTGATAAAGTGGTCCCAGTAGTTGATAAAATTACCATAAAGCAGATAACCTTGTCCTAAAAATTGATAAAGTGGTCCCTGAGGAGTTGCTCAGTGGTTTTATTTTAAGTGCAGACATTTTTATCTGTAATATTCTAGTGCAGCAGAATAAAAGATGTTACAGTAACCAGAATACACTGTAGGTAAAACTTTTAATATTTACATTACCAAAAAAACACACCCTAAATCAACCCGCAACAACATTTATGTTTTATGTTGGAACACTTCCACTATGATAATATTCAACAAGAAAAGTTTAACGCAAGGTGCCCCGAACTCGCCAGATATATCTGTTGATATCAAAGAACATTTCTTAGATAAACGTAATGATTAATTTAGAAATTCGTACAGCTGCCAAACTAAACACTCAGCTTGCAGATCTTCTGGTGTTTGATGTAATATAAAAGAGAGAAAATGAAACAACAGTATCTAATTTGTTGTTTCTTTTGTTGTTTT